TTTATTAAATAGGGCTGAATTCCTTTCCAAACTAAGCAAGTCAGACTCTCCAAAGCAGCACTCACTAACAGAATACAAGCTACATATATAATTTCAAATTTTCTAATAGCCACATTTTAAAAAGCCACATTAAAAATTAGATCAATTTACTTTAATATATTTATTTAATCCAATATAACAAAAACGTTATTTTTACATGCAATAAATGACATAGTTTACTTCCTTTTTTGTTCTTACTGAGTCTTCAAAATCTGGCATGTGTGCTTTACTAACAACACATCTCAAGTCATATTAGCCACATTTCAAGAGCTCAGTATCTTATGTGGCTAATGTCTACTAAATTGGACATTACAACTCTAAAAAGAGACCTGATATTGGGATTCTTATGGTCAGGCAACTTTGGAAAATACTTCTCTGCTTGGAGGAGGCACCAGGTTCTACCCCTTAAACATACATCTCTCTCACTAACAAAGCCTGTATTAGTTCGGTGTTGAAGTGATGCTGTTGGACCCATACAAGAACTTTAGCATTCACACAAATGGGATACAGTAGCCCCCCTTTATCTGTGGAAGATACATTCCAAGACCTCCAGTTGATGCCTGACACCTCAGGTAGTACCAAACTGTATATATATTGTGTTTTTTCCTATACATACCTATGATCAAGTTTATTTCATAAATTTGGCACAGTAAGAGATTAACAAGAGTGACCAATAAAAGCAGAACAATTATAACAATATATTGCAATAAAAGTTATGTGAATGTGATCTCTTTCTCTTTTAAGATAGTATTTTACTACACTCATTGATTTTTGGAACGTGGTTGACCATGGGTCACTGAAACTGGGGAAAGCAAAACCATGGATAAGGACGGACTACAGTACTCCAAAGTGAGGCATGTCACCAGAATTTTGAACAGATTACTCATGGTAAAATACTTTATTCCACTATCACGTAGATGTACCATTAGTGACTACATCATTACCACCATCTGGGTTTTCCTTTAAGGATGGAATTATTTCTATGCAAATTCTAAAACCCCCTAACCAGGACGCAATAGTTAGATTACCTCCTGGAAAGTTACTTAAATCTTAAGAGTTTGAAATTAAATAAAGAGTGGAATTCTTATTTCATTTTTTTTTTTTTGAGAATGATAACAAAAACTCAGTATCCTGTGAGTGAAATGTTGAAATGTTGATCATGCTGACGCAGACAAAAGTTGTGTAGGGAAAATCCTGAAGGCAACTTTCCAACTTCCAATAAAGTTTTACTTTATTATCATTCTCTTTGTGGTCTGCCCCACCTCTTATCCCCTTGCATCTTGCCTGTGGTCCTTTCTGATGGTGAGTACTGTCAACAATGATACAGAGAAAGTCACTCACTTATCTGTTTCTTTAAGAGTTCTGTGCAATGAGAAGATTAGATTTCCAAGTTCCCATCAGCTGAAAGGTACAAATCCCTGAGAACCACTAAATGATTATTGAAGTGTTGGCAGTTATAGTTTATGATGGACCATCTTTCTCAGAGTGGAAAAACATGGATATTATTATACAGATTTCCCTTTAATTGATTTTTGAGAATTCTGTGGGAACCCATACTTGTTTCACTGCTGGATCTCTATTTCCTGGAACAGTACTTGGCACATAGTAGGTCCACAAATCTTTGTTTAATTTATATATTCAAAGAATTGCATGGCAAAATTCAACCTGCTAAGACTTCATGCTGGTAACCACTCTGCAGTACAACCTTCTTTGACAGCAAGAGCTTAATATCCAATTTGGGGCAAGCTGAGAATGATATGCAAAAATAATATTAGTTTCCTCCCTATATTTTTAATTAGAGTAATGCTGTCTTTTAAACTAAGACTCCTGAGTACTTTATGACTATGGTCAGTCCATCTTAATCACATGCACTACTTTATATTCAAGCACAAAACATACACAACACCTTCAGATGGATGCCATAGTAGAAATAAACTATTTAAAAATTGTTGACATGCATAATGTCTGAGAAGAAAATAAGCATAACAAGATTACAAAAATCTGTCAAATAGCTTCCTCTAATAATGATTTGAAGTTGTACTTTTTCAAGTATGCTACACTACAGTTTTCCTTTAAAAGTTCTAACCAAAATTATAATGTAAAAACCTCCTAGGAGGTATACAACAAACCACAAGTATTCTAAACAAACTTATCTTCAAAGGTGCAAATCTTGTCCCCACACTCTTTTGCTTAAATACTTTCAGTGACTCTGTTATTTATAGGCTAAAACACAGACTTGTCTGTGTATCATATAATGTCCTTCACAAAGTATTCTCAGCTTACCCATCCAGCC